GCTGTGATTATCTTGTAGAACATGGCAGAAGTGCGGAGTATCAGGCTGTGGCGAGCTTAGGCAAGCGATGAAGTAGTAGACTCAGCTCTTCTGATGCTCAGCGAGTAGAACAACATAAGGTGACTGATCTAGTTAAGTTTCAAAGAGAATGTTCTAGTTGATCCCCATATAACACATGAATGTTAGATCGTCTATACGATGCGCTAAAAAATATTCACTTCAGTGGCAAGAAAACCTCGAAACATATTTTCATAGTTGTATGAATATTAATCTAAAGGTCATATTTCAGATCATGTGTTTACAGAATTAGCAAGGGGTGTCTGTAAAACATACAATATCATTTACAGAGATTTGCGAGGTAGTTTATATCGTAGACTTCTTACATTTAGGTGAAATATTTCTATATTTACTTCACAGAAACACGACCAGGAGTTTGCTCCACATCCAATCCAGTAATGAGAAGTAAGAGGGGGATTGGTACAATATTGGACTCAGTGTAAAACTGTGCTAAACAGGGATACATTTGCACAAGACTACAGCTAATGGATAAATAAAAGTGTTCATAACATTCATGGAATAACAAGCGTCGGCAGTGGATGACAGGTTATTAACGTGGCATTCTTTCTTAGGTGAGTTGAATCACATTTGTTATAATGCAATTCTATCGATGCTCTGTACGCACTCAAATCAGTCATAACTGAAACCAGGAAACATTTTATCCAGACAAGGGTACCGACAGGTGTGCTATTGAGTGGGTAATCTGAATCAGATTCAATTTGTCTTTTCACAATATGAACGATATACCAGATAAGGTATTTTCAGGTTTATAAATAAAACGTGTAGAGGTAGAACACCACTTTACCACTGAATAAACGAGTAAATAAAGGGTATTTATATCCAATGAGCTAGGTGCGTATGCATACAGTGCATGAATGAGTGTGATGAAAGATAGAGTAGCAGACAGACTACATAAAATAAAATGCACTGATACTCATGCAGTAGTCATTAGGACTGTGTCCATAAACGCAATGCTGTGCGAGATACAAGCAGGTTTACTCGCAGATTTAGCGCAGTGCACTGTGTTCCCAAACCATGCTGTGTGGCTACTGGCTGTTTGTGTTTTAAAAACATAAAACTGTGATATAAGAATGTCATGATTGACACAAAAGATGGATATATGGGTGTTTCTAATATTGAATGCAAGGAGCTCTATCTCATATAATTTTACCCATAAATGCACATGTGGGCCTCACAAGAAACACGGATTTGATATGGCTGTGAGACCTCAGAGCTTGTTTCGCGCTTGTGTTACAGGTCAACCCCGTGTACATGTATATTCCGGGTTAGAGTAGGCCCCATCAACCTATTCCGGGCAGACCGTGGGGAATCAGGGATAGAAATGGTCCCCTGCAATCCATGCTGGTCGTACCATGAGTATTGCGAGTTAAAATTGGTCCCCAACCAATAGTAAAAATAAAACAGGATTTTTTGTATCGTAACCAACATGTATTTAATATACAGGTAACATGGAAAATTAGAGAAGAAGCTACTGATACATAATTCTTGTAACATAAAATAAAATAAAATATATGTTTGTTTCCACTTTTATAATGCTTATAAACAGGGATTGTCTTATTAAAGTATAATCAAGAAAACGCATTTTCGCTTGGTGAAACGCAAAAGATTATTTCGCGTTTTACATTACTGAAATAGTACGGATGTCTTATTACATATGGATTATTTTTTGTTTTAAATTCAGCTATAGAAGTACTATTATTTAACATTTTTGTTTTGAGAATTCCACTGTTTTTAGAAATCTATATCAATGACGTTTGAAACGTACTTGTTCTGGCAGTTATATAATGTGTGTTGTGTTAGTTAAAATTTATATAATGTGTGTTGCGTAAGTTAAAATTTGAAGCAACTGATCTATTGTGACGTAACAAATCATTTAGGTGTGATACCCGTGAAGATCCGGGTTAGAATACAGAATAGAACATAATTTATTTCGTTTGGTCTGGCCATGAGGTCAATAGTACAGATGACTGAATAATATTTGGCACATTATATATAGGGCTTCAATTTGTGTTGATTTTGGAATTTCTAAATTTACACAATTTTTCAAGATAAAGTTGGCTTGCGGGAATAAAATGTTGTCGTCACATATTGAGAGTAACGATACAAACTTGTGCATGGTAGGATATTCATAATCATACAGGGGAAATATTTTTACCTTAACTTGATATAAGCTTGACATTATAATCGTTTAAACAGCAGCTATATTTTGTTAGAGCTCTTTTTAAATTTACAGTCTTAATTGAAGAACGATATTTGTCAGGCTGTACAAAAGATTTGTAGAGAATTCTAGGCTTGGTGAATTAGGTATACAATCTGACCATTCTTGCACAAACAAATCTCGTGTTCTTTGTTTAAATGTATAAGTAAAAGCATCACAGTCTCCGACATATTGCATCAACCATACATTACCAAATCCATAGCTGAGCAATGTATATCTCACAAATGAAACCCAATTTTATAACGTAATTCGTCATATGTACACAACATGAAATTATAGAATAATTTGCCTCAAGGCATTTTTAATAGCTTACTCCAATACTTAATTACTCTCACAACACCATGTTCATACATTCTTGATCTTCCCAGATCACCTAATACAGCAGAATTCGAAGATCTGTATCCTATTTTCAAAGTTTATTTACAATATTTAGTATGTATTATTCCAATCCTTTTTCGTACTTCTGTAAATTTTCGCATCATATAGCAAAATAGGTAAAACTTTAAAATCAAAGATTTTAAAATATGTATCAACGTTTGCGTCTGGATATTTCATGAAATTCATATACCAAGATATTTATAAAATATGACACCATTTCAATTTGTGCACTATTAATAACCATATCATGTTGTGATAGAGGTCCTCCATTTTTTAAATACCATAACTTTACTCTTATTAATGTTTACTGTTAGTCCACATTTATAGCCGCATCCTTCTATACTAGTTATTCTTTTTGCAGGATCAGAACATATTTACACATCATCAGCAAATAAAAAAATAAATATTTCATCAATATCATAATCATTGAAGATACCATGAGTTTCATCACTCTTCGTAGAATTTACTGTGTACATAAAAAAACCAGTAACCTTTGAAAGCATACATCTTTGTCTAACACCGCATGAGGTATCAAACAAATCTGTAAAATGCGGAGAGCTGAGCTTCACAGAAGCTTTAACGTTGTCATACATATATTTAGGTACATTAAATACATTTCCAAGGATGATTTGTATCACCACTAAATACCGTAATTTTGTCTTAAGAAACATATCAAAAGCTTTCTTAAAATCAATAAACAAACAGTAACATTTACCTCCTCTTTCTCTTAAATAATTGTACGAAGAACACATATATTATGTACCAAACTATGATTCTAATATGCACGTTTGAAGTTCAAACCAAAGAGTGAGTCTTGTATCCACTACTGATGTGAGGATTTCCCCATAATATGAAAGAGGGTGATACCCCGATAATATTTTAGGTCAGTTCCTTGCTTAACCCTCGTGGTGCCTGGACGTCAGTAAGCCTGCATACCGCTCAGTGCCGCACTGTGGTGACGTCGCGGTTTCAAAAACATAAACATTGTATGTCACAATACGTATGACAGTTTGGAATGTATATCTTGAAGAAATCCCGGTAACGTCCATATATGTTTCAGTGATCGTGCTCTTTTATTAGTGGTAAAAACAACTTCGGGGTAATTGACATCGTACGTTTTCAAAGGACAAAATGTGAAAGATCGCTAAACAGCCCTAAAATTACTCAAATTGGCATCGCTCAATATCGGACATCATTAGTAATTTTTAATAATTAACAAGATTACTAACGTAATACCATCCAAGAGTAAGAATACATGTAGTTTCAAATAAAATCGTTGAAACGTTTTCATGGGCAGCAAATCTATTCAACAAACCTATTTTCGATCACTCGCAACTCGGGCGCCATATGTCATTGCTTCGTTGTGCAATCACACAGACCGCTCATTGATACTTAGTGTGTCATGATGTGTTGTTAATGGTTTAAATCTAACTTATAAAAAGCTATAAACGAGATGTAATTGGACAATTTTAATACTTGAATTTGAAAGCTCAAGAAGGGCAGATCTCGAGTAGGCTATATTTAATACAAGGAAACGATAACTTGCACAGTACGGGTGAAAAAAGGCAACATTATTGTTTTACGGTACAGGTATAAAAATATCTAGATTAAGTGAAAGAGAAAATTACGAAAATATGAATAACTTCGATTTAAGTAGTGTTAAATGTATAATGTACGTGAATAAGTATACAGTTGGGACAAAATATGTCTTTCTGACCACTCAGGTCATATTATTTCATATGAACAAGGATTTTGTCTGAAAATATTTACGTGTTTATGACATGGGTGCATAATAAAAATTCGCAGTCATTCGCTTGTTGTTCAAACATGGCCGAGAAAGGCCGAGAAGAGCGGTAGCCACTTTACCAATCTCGCCATATTTCCCAATCCGTAGCATTGTATAAACTATGAGTTGCACGATGTTAAAGCTAAGATGATTGGGGTGATGATGGCTATATATTTTTCTTTGCGCACTCATTTTCTCGGGACCATATATGGTCCCTTGGTCCCTTGTGAAAAGTGAGGGACCATATATGGTCCCGTGGCACCAAGAGGGTTAAAGAACGTTCTTGCGAGAAGTGTCAATAAGCCCATTTTCCAAGCCTGTGGAAAATATCTCTACATAAGTACGTATTAATAAATATGGCATTATGCCATTACATGATTCTTTAAATATTTCAGGTGGGATACCATCGATACTGCCGAGGTCATCATCATCAGATGGTACATATTCTGTGTCATCATTAATTGACCCATGCGGGCGTTACGTCAGCAAACAAGATGAATTTACATTCATGATATTCATGTAACAGTTCAAATAATTTACCTTCTTTATTGTCTAGTCCATTTTCCGATCCTCTTTGGAGGTAAATATATCATAATCCTAGTAAACATGCTTCAGCAAAAAATATCTTCCGCATAGAAAAAGACACAGTACATCCCATAGAATACACATATCGATAATCCCCCTTTACCAGGTGCAGTATGCTTGACGGGTGTTATGCCCGGGATAGGCTCACCACTGCAGTGCACTAAAAGTAGTAAAGACACGACGATTGCAGCTTGAAAAAGTCACTTAATTAGTCCACCACACACACCATCCTCCATGCCGCTACACACACCATCCTCCATGCCGCTATTGAGATTCACATGCACTTTTTTCATCATCAGCGTTTTTCTACACGTCTGCACTGTCGCCATTGTAGGTGGCGCTCCTAAAATGCGAATAGGTTATTAATATAGGTCTTACATGCTTGCCTTAAAGAGGCCAGGCGCACTGACTTGGTTGAATATCACAGGATATTATACACAATTATTTATGATCCTAATTACAAATATGATTATAAATTTCAATCAGTTGATATGTAGTACAATTGCTTGGCATGGATCCTGATACATATTTGGAAAGTAGTTTATTCTCCAAAAAGTAATTATAGATTATTTTAATAAGTCGTTCAAAATATTTTTTTCAAGACATGATAACAATCAACAGTCCTTTATTTGGAAGGGTGGGATTCTGGGATAGAACTGTCGAGGGCGAAGACAGTTGCTCATAAGATCAATCACTGGATTGTCTGGTTCAGACTTGATTATTTAAAGACGGTCGTCATATTGCTGAATGGGGCGCTAAACAATAAGTCTGACCACCAGATCAATCGCCTCGTAGGACAAGCATATGGTTTTGGAGACGAATTCTCCACGGAGCATCATAGTGCTAGTTTAGTTGTTTATGAAAGGTCTGAGTTAGTTTATTGCATGGTGCGTAGTCCGTTACCGTTGACTTCATCACAGCTTCATTCGACTAAATCACAGATAGTGATGAGCCTGGGACACCAGGAGACTGCCTGTAGTCATAATGGGACTGATATGTCGTCAATAACATAAACATAAATACTTGAAACAATAATAACATTTAAAAAAAATTCTTACGATTTCTTTCAAATATACATGGGACCCACAGGGCCACGGATAGCCATACTATACTGACTGTACTGAATACATTAAAAAAAGAGAAGGGAGGACACCTCCGCTGATCGAAAACCGAACAATTTTCTACCCCTCTATGCTGCAACCGCTATTTCAGTCATTTCCGTGTTAATAATTTTTTTTTACAAAAGCTAGGTTAAAACAAAAGTGTTTTAACTTCATGTTAAATCTCAAACTATTGCTACATTTATTTTTCCTTGACTTATAATTAATGTGGAAGTTCAATGTTGTCGTTACGAACACCGAGACGCCCGGAAGTGCTACTCCCTCCTAATGTTACTCACTAAAACATGCGAAAACAATGGCGACACGACCAAGCGACTCAATCATAAATGCGGCTGTTTCTGGGCATAATTTCCTTATTTTAGGCCAGGCAGGGACAGGCAAAAGTCACGAGCTAAGGAAAATTGCATCTGTACTAGGAAACGAGGGAAAGACCGTTCAACTTTGTGCATCAATCTGTAGGCCTGTGTACACAGTGATCTCAATTCCATGATATAGTAATTAGGTACAACAGATGATGAGCTACTAAATTAAGAGTAGAATAGTATACTAGTGCAATTCATACACATTTAACACTTCTTGATGGCTGCATTGAACACCAAGGTGGGAAAAATTTAACTATGCAAGTAATATTTTATCTAATTTAATGAAGTGGACTATATATACACATATATGTATAAATATTTTATTATGAATCTACAATAACCCATAACCCTATAAATTGATGTATTGCTGTATTTCCCCAACCAAAGATTAATCATGCTGAAAACATCATGACATTTGTGCCCTTATCTAGACCAGAGTTCAATAATATTTCTCCACTTATTTGCTTCAACTGACATTTAGACATAAACATAGGGCTATAATCTAACAGTAAATAATGTTTTTACCAGCTGACAATCTTGCAGAACGGAGGATTTGCCATTTTCTCAATGTAGTGGTAAGCTTAGCAGACGAAGTTATAAAAAACGCCAACGGCGATTAGCAATTATTTTTCGACCAATCGGAGACGATCTTTGGAGAGTGGTATGTGAAGCGAGTACAACTTCCGGGCGTCTCGATGTTCGTTGTTCGCCGTTTACTTTTTGAGACGAAATTGTGATTAAACTATGTACAAGGTAAATACTTTTTCTAATGCAAAATCTTGTTAAAGTTATATTTGACAAACTACTAGTCAGTTGTAAAACGAAATACATCGGACTGTTTTGGGATGGAAACATTGTTCGGTTTTCGATCAGCGGAGGTGTCCTCCTTTCTCTTTTTTTAATGTAATCAGTACTGTCAGTATAGTATGGCTATCCGTGGCCCTGTGATGGGACCCGTGAAGATCCGGGGTCTTCAGCAACCCATGCTTGTAAAAGGCGACTGTGCTTGTCGTAAGAAGCGACTAACGGGATCGGGTGGTCAAGGCACGCTGACTTGGTTGATGCATATCATCGTATCCCAATTGCGTTGATCGATGCTCATAGTGTCAATCACTTGATTGTCTGGTCCAGACCCGATTATTTTGTTTTAATTTGTTCATTTGTTGTTTAACGCCGTTCCCAGCAATATTCAAGCTATATAACGGCCCGATTATTTACAGACCGCCGCCCAATTATTTACAGACCACCGGCATGCAGCTTGAATATTGCGTGTGGCGTTAAACAACAAACAAACCAAACTAAATATACATAGTCGATGCAAGAGAATACCCAGTCGAGATTATCCACCGAAACAGATTCCATTTGGTGTCAAGTGCAAAATAGTTGTGAAAATTACATGAATGGAAAACTGAAAATCAGTGATGACACCAGGTGTTCGCGAAAAGGATAAGCCTGTCCTGCCCTACCTGTAGCCACCTCCATTCACACCATTTGCATAATAAAAGTAAGTATTTATTGCCGCACAGCAGTACTCCTGCCATGCGACGGCGGCTTGTAAACAAACCAGAAAATCAAGTGATCAATGAAGCAGAAATTCAAGTGACACGACAGTGCGTTTACAGATTTTGTTGAAACTGATGAAAACAATGTTAATTATATTTTGAATTACGTCTGCTGTGTACAAGTGCATAGACTGTGATGCTTATAAGAAAAGAAACACGTTTAAGAATTGCATTCGTTCTTTTAAACACAATAGGGCCCAGTTTTTAGTTGTTGGTTGGTTTGTTGTTTAACGCCACACTCAGCAATATTCCAGCTATATGACGGCGGTCTGTAAATAATCGAGTCTGGACCAGACAATCCAGTGATTGATATCATGAGCATCGATCCACGCAATTGGGATCGATGACATGTATCAACCAAGTCAGCGAGCCTGACCACCCGATCCCGTTAGTCGCCTTTTACGACAAGCATAGTCACCTTTTACAGCAAACAGGGGTTGCTGAAGACCTATTCTACCCCGGAATCTTCACGGGTATGACTCAGCACAGGTATATTCGCACGACATGGCTGAAATATTGCCGATGTGACGTTAAACTTTAACTCACTCACTCAGCTCAGGTATATGCCACTGAGGCAATGATGAAACTCGGAGACTTCAGTCCTCCAGCAGAAACATCTACTCAGTTCAAGCAAATATAAATTCTACCATGAATTTGGAAATTTCTCGATTCTGATCGGTCAATCCGGGGTTGTCAAATCACAATAAACCCCTCTGATTGAAACTGTCGATTTGACGGCCGCATCACCGCGGAAACTAAAAGTAATAAAATAGTACTTTTTTCAGTCATCGTCGGTAGGAATATTTAAATTATGTCTACAGTTATAGGTTACAAAATGCATAGTTGCGGTTACTACAATATTCAAAGGCTTGTGGCAATACATTTCGTGCAGAGAACACGATAGAAAGATACAAAGAGAACGTATTTTAAGTTTGGGGACAACAGAGAGCCTGGAGTTTGGCGCTTTTCTAAATACTACTGTGGCGTCATATCTTTTCCGTCACAATGAGCGATATGACGTCATAATGATGATGCGTGGTGTACAACGAAGGCTTTGCAAAGCTTGCTTAATTTTCTTTAGGGGAGCCCACCTCATGTCAGCTTACCAAGTTGCCTTCTTATATGCTTTCAATGCCAGTCATATCTTCGAGTGAAGTATTACTATGTAAACAAACTTCTTGAGCATATACATGCAGCGCCATATTTTGTTTAAAGGCTGTTGTCAATTAGGAGATAGACATACTGTGTTTTCAATGTGGATTTGTAGGTTACTTGTAGATTAGCCGAGCTTATTTGAAATTGGAACCGAACGCGCAGCTTAATTTGAAACCTCACAGGTAACCTTGCTCAACATTGAAAGAGAATAACCAGTCTAGATTATCCACCGAAACAGATTCTATTTGATGTTAAGCGCAAACTAGCTGTGAAAATAATATGAATGGACCACTGAAAATCAGTGATGACACAGTGACAAACAAACCAGAAAAAACAAACTCTTCCTTTGGGACTGGTACAAGTCAAACGTTTAAGTTTTAAAGTGTCTTTTTCAGTAGATAGTTAGCCTTCACGATGAGGTTGGATATTGTAATTGATATCTTTTTCAACCAAAACTGTGCCTTGCGCTGAACCAGCCGGCGCAGACATAGCAGACGACGCTATCAGTTGTCCGACAAAAGAGTCAAACATGCCCCGAAACTGATTTTAACCGAAGAATGTAATGTTTCTTGCAAGATTAGTTTTATTCTTTGATATTTGATTAGAAATTGGGTCTTGTTAGAATGAAATATTCTTTTCATAGTGTGACAGTTAATCCCTACATCCGGACATTTCATGAATTGTGACATGGACAAGATAATGCTGATGTACCTCCATCAGTTTCATAATGACACCAGGGACAGTGATGATTTCTGCTTGACTGGCTCTTTTCTTTTAGCTTTAACCAACATGGACTAACAACATTTTGATTGGCATCAACCTAACAAGACGGACGCAAGCAACTGTCAGAAGTTAAAAGAAAAACTTTATCATTTACTGCAAAGTACGAACTAAACATTTATTTCGTTGGGATGACAGTGTTTGTCTCTTTCATGATAATTAGATGCGATAACAATCCAAGACAAACAATCATCATAACACCTCTTAAATTGCTTATTAGTTCGGGATCGGATTGACAGGCTCGCTGTTTCGGTTGATGCATGTCATCGTATCCCAATTGCGTATCCACGCAATGCTCATGATGTCAAGACCGCCTCCGTGGTCTTGTGGAAGAGCGTCCGCCCGGAGAGCGGAAGGTCCAGGGTTCGATCCCGGGCCG